TATCCATACACCATTACATTAATATCTATGTATCATCATACATTTTAATATCCTCACCTATAATATATATATAGTCTTATAGTTTTCTTAAACTTTTCTACTGCTCTTGAAATCTTCTTTCTTATTTGTTTATTTAAAAATGTTATTTTATACAATAATATAAATTTTAATATATTAGAAACAATGTTTTTGAAGTTCTCTCTGTCTCTAGCAGTATGTACCAAGTCTCTCATCGTTCTTAACTCAGTCCATGGTCGAAATCTCTTAAAATACTCTGATTAAATATCGGCTTAGTCTGTAGCTAATATTTGTAATTTTCTTATAAGGTAGAAGTGATAATCTGTAGCAGGACCGACACTCTAAAATTCTGAGATCAAAGAGTATAAACTCCACTGGAACTGGGTTGCAGATTATTATTATTGACTGAGATCAAAACAAAGAGTCATACCAATTTCCTAACTAAAGTTCGATGATAAATGAGTATAACGTGCACTGTAATAGGATCGTATATTTTATTATGGATAGAAATTAAAATGAAAGACATACCAATTTCTAGAGCTCGCATTAACTTACTCAAGCAGAAAAGCCTAAACAAAACTGTAACCTGTTAAGCTATACTGGTTTCTTAAATTATTTTCCTGTTATATGTAAAACAGCATCACTAAATTAATTTCGACATATGAACTTAAACTATGTGGTAATGCAACTGCTTTAAAAATTGATATAGAAATTATAGAAATTAGACATAAATGCTACGAGTAATCACTAGAGTACCGTGATAGATCAAGAATGAACAAACGCATAAAAATCTTCAAGAACCTTCGATTAAATCGAAATTCGCAGTAACTGAACAAAAATATGTTATGAATATATACTATTGCTATAGTCTGTATATTAATTATAAATAAATAAATATATATATTAAGAAAATATATGCCCACCTCAACCTTTTACCAAGAATACTCGCTCTTCTTCTTTTACTCTTATCCCTTCTTCCTGTAAGAGTATTTAAGGCCTTTTCAACTTTCCATAATTAAATATAATTCTGTTTTTCTGCCTTAAGCTGCTTTAAGAGCATTTTACTTGTCATTTCGAACCACAATGACCCCCATTTTTCATATGAATTCATACATTAGTTCGATGACCCACAGAATTTTCAGTATTTCAGTTTGAATAATAGCTGCATGCAAATACCAGGCATAGTAGTATTTTCTGCTCAAATATCGGCACCCGAAAGCATTTCAGTTTTTAAGCCATTGGTAAATATTCATGAAAGAGAAATAGGAGTTCCTAAGTGATGACACCAGTTCCAACGTTCCGAGATTAAAACATAGAAAATGAAATCCAAGCACCCTTGATCTTAATTTGAACTCAAAAATAAAATGTAATATGTTATTCCTTATACGGTATAGCACAAAAACCTTGAAGATGAAAAATTAAGGCATAAAACAAATAAATGAATTTAAGATTTGAATACAAAGAAGACTACTCAAAATACCATGGACCAAGAATATGACGAACTTTGATATGTTACAAACCATTAGGGATGATACAGAGCTTCGAATGCTTATCAAATTCAGAAAAGTTTTATATATAGATTTTATGGAAGCTGAACACTGGTTCA